TGAGCAAAAGAGCTCAGGAATAGAGCCCAGGCCCTGAGCTCAAGCCCTATGACCGACAAAACAAAAACAACTTATCTATTCTTTTTTTTTTTTTTTTGTCGGTTGTGGGGCTTGAACTCTGGGCTTGGGCGCTGTCCCTGCGCTCTTCAGCTCAAGGCGAGCGCTCTACCGCTTGAGCCACAGCGCCACTTCCGGTTTTCTAGTGGCTAATTGGAGATAAGAGTCTCACAGACTTTCCTGCCCGGGCTGGCTTTGAACTGTGATCCTCAGATCTCAGCCTCCTGAATAGCTAGGATTACAGGCATGAGCCACCATCACCCGGCTAACTTATCTATTCTTGATGACTGAAGACCATCATCGCACACATAAGTAATGTCTGTTGCTGTGTCACAATTGTATCCTCTATGTCCATCTGGGATGTGTAAGCACATTACCTTTTTACTAAGTGCTCCTATGGACTATGCTTTATTATCTATTATTATTATTATTAAGTTTTATCATCATCATCATCATTATTTAGCAACTTTTCTTCTCAGGATATAAGTCTTGTTAATATTTTCCCCTGTAATTGCTTTTATTATGCCCTTAAAATTAGCAATTAAATTTTAGGCTTTATCAAAAATAATAGCAAGTGTTAAAATTGCGTATAACAGCATAATGAATAGGCTGAATAGGAATGAGATCATTTGTAATTTGGATAATTACTGAAGTTTCCATTTTTAAGGATTATACCAATTTATGTTCCCACCAGAAGTTTATAAGGGCATTTTCTCAGTCTCTCAATAAAATACGTTAATTTTTTATTGTGAAAATACCATACAGAGGGGTTACAATTACATGGGCAAGATAATGAGTACATTTCTTATCAAGCATTGTTGCCCCCTCCTTTGTTTCCCCTTGCTATCCCTTCCCCTCCTTCACCCCCCCCAAGCCAAAGTTGTAAAGTTCATTTTTCGACATACCGTCTTGTACATCTCATTGTTGCAATAGGTCCACCTGTATCCCTATTTAAATGATTTGTTTTTTCCCTTCCCCTCCACAAATTATACCAACATTAAATACAGTGAAAACAGGGGTTATACCATGGGGGAGGGACATACAAAGAAATATCTTATAAATATGTTAGAAACAATAGCAAGAAAGAAAAATAAAACATTTGAGTCCTTATCTTCGCCTGACATCAACTTATCTGACTGTTTCTGCTTGTCTCAAAGATATACTAGTTATTGCAAATAAGGGAAACCATGGGACCTATGTTTCTTTGGGCCTGGCTTACTTCACTTAATATTTTTTCCAAGTCTTTCCATTTCCTAACAAATGGGGCAATGTCATTCTTTCTGATGGAGGCATAGAATTCCATTGTGTATATATACCACATTTTCTTGATCCTTTCATCTACTGAGGGGCATCTAGGTTGGTTCCATATCTTAGCTATGGTAAATAATGCTGTAATAAACACAGTTGTGCTGGTAGCTTTAGTATGGACTTGTTTGTGATCATTTGGGTAAATGCCCAAAAGTGGGATTTTGGACAGTCATATGGGTAAAAATTTCCTCCTATTATTTGTTACTTTATATGCTTAAGAATCATTTGCAGTTTCTTATTTGTGAACTGCTTATATCCTTTTGCTGTAATTTCTAATGTTTATTATCAAGTACGAGTATTATATATATGAAGAGATTACTTTTCTGTTTCTTGGGTTGTTTGGTTGGTGGAGTTTTGGTGGTACTGAGGTTTGAACTCAAGGCCTTTCTACTGGCCAGCAGGCACTCTACTACTTGAGCTATTCCACCCACCTTTTTTCTTTTTCTTTTCTTTTTTGTTGGTTGGGTTCCTGAACTCTGGGCCTGGGCGCTGTTCCTCAGCTCTTCAGCTCAAGGCTAGTGCTCTACCACTTGAGCCACAGCGCCACTTCTGGTTTTCTGGCCGTTTATTGGAGATAAGAATCTCACAGACTTTCCAGGCTGGCTTTGAACCGTGATCCTCAGATCTCAGCCTCCTGAGTAGCTAGGATTACAGGTGTGAGCCACTGATGCCCAGCTTCCACCAGCCTTTTAAATATCGGTTATTTTGTGTGGCCAGCCTGAACTGCAATCCTTCTATTTCTGCTTTCCTGCATTGCTGGGATGACAAGTGTGCACAACTGGGTCTTGTCATTAGTCAGCTCAGAGTTTCGGGGCTTCATGCTTGTCAAGGGGCAATCTACTACTTGAGCCATACCTTCATCTCATTTTGATTTTGTTATTTTTCAAATAGAGTCTTGCATTTATGTTTGACCAGCCTGGACTTAAATCTTCCCTCTTACACTGGGATAACAGCTATGAAGTCCAACTTCTCATTGGTTGAGATGAGGTTTTGTCAACTTTTTGCCTGGTGATAGCCATGAACTAATATCCTCCCAATCTCAGCCTCTAACTGATTTTTCATTATGTTGGATTTTCTCACTTCAGAAATTTATCATTTTTATGGCTTCTTGATTTCCTCAGCCTTTATCTCTCTAAAAATTATTTTTAAATTGTTCATTTTCTGTCAAGATTTTTATGGTTTTATTCTTACATTTAATTTTGTGAATCATTTGAAATTTATCTTGATGCATGATAAGGTGTGGTTTGCTTTAGTGTGTGTGTGTATATGTGTGTGTGCACGTGTGCGCGCCAGTACTGGGGCTTAAACTCAGGGCCTTACACTCCTGCTTTGCTTTTTCACTCAAGGCTAGTTCTTTACCACTTGAACCTTACTTCCACTTCTGGCTTATTGCTGGTTAGTTGGAGATAAGTCAATCAGGTTTGTTTTTCCAAGGCTGCAAACTGAGAACCTCAGACATCAGCCTCCTGAGTAGCTAGAAATAGAGGTATGAGTCCCTAGCATCCAGTTTTTTGGTGTGTGTGTGTGTGTGTGTGTGTGTGTGTGTCTTCGTTCCAGTACTAGGTGTGTGTGTGTGTGTGTGTGTGTGTGTGTGTGTGTGTGTGTGTGTCTTCGTTCCAGTACTAGGGACCAAACCCACTGTCTAGTGTATGCTAAGCAGTTCTGTAACTCTGAGCTTCTCTTCGCCTTAGCTTGCTCCAGTTGTCCCAACAGTGATTATTAACCAAGCAGTTTTCACTCCGCAGTTGACGATGCTTAATTATATACTCAATCCTTATACGTATCTGGTCTCTTTCTGGATTTTTATGCTGGTTCATTAGCGTGGTTATCTATTCGTGAACCATTGTTACTTACTGAGACTTTATGTTGTAATATCTGCCAGTATTTGTTTCTCTTAGATTTCTTTTTCATAGATCTATTCTGCTTTTCTGTTTTCCTTATAGTTGAATTTAAAATTTTCAAGCTAGGTGCACGTGTCAGCTTGATTAAAAAGGAATAAAGAACTGAAGTACAAATGAGTCCTTCTGAAATGTCTTTTCTGCATGCTGCTGGTACTGCTGTAGGTCTTTTGGCGTGGTGCTTTGGGAGTTGCTGACAGGAGAGATCCCCTACAAAGACGTAGATTCATCAGCCATTATTTGGGGAGTTGGAAGCAATAGCCTGCACCTCCCAGTTCCTTCCACTTGTCCAGATGGATTCAAAATCCTTATGAAACAGACATGGTAAGATATTTCTTCCAATGTTTTTCTTTACTTTCTTTCTCAAAGGCATATGTAAAATGGCTCTAAAACAGCAAAGAGGTCTACAATGTGTATTAGGAGTAAATTACCTGTTAGAAATAGCTCCGGATGTTGGGGTGTCACATAGGAATAAAGACCCCCAACTCGAAAGGAACTCAACAAGGCAAGGTTTACTTCTGGGGAAGGATGCACCATCCACCAAAAATCTGGTAAGCAAGCACATAGATCAAGCAGGCTGCTCCTTAACCCAGCAGGCCCTGCCCCTCTGCTCATATTGGCTGAGTTCAAGGTTGACAGTCTGCGAAAGGATGCAGCTCAATTAACAGGAAGTAAGTAAAAGTCAAGGAGCCTCTAACAGGATGTCTTAATTAAAGTGCTGAGGAAAATGATGTATGTAATTAAAATGTAATTAGCAAGGACCAATTCACCTGGCCAAAGCAGGAACCCTTCAGAAAAACAATTCTGTCAAGATTAACAGAAAGGAAGTGAATTACTTAGGGAGAGAGAGAGAGAGAAGACACTTTTTTACACACAAGTGGTGGAAAGACTAAGAGCCTTGCACTTTAAGAACCTTGGGTTTAGATACTGGCTCTGCCTTTTAAAAATTATTATAGGGGCTGGGAAGGTGGCTCAGTGGTAGAGCGCTTGCCTTACAAGCCTGAGGCCCTGGGTTCGATTCCTCAGCACCACATAAGCAAAAAGAAAAAAGCTGGAAGTGGCGCTCAAGTGGTAGAGCGCTCTCCTTGAGCTGAAGAGCTGAGGGACAGCGCCCAGGCCCAGAGTTCAAGCCCCACGGCCGACAAAAAAAAAAAACAAAACCCAGAAGTGGAGCTGTGGCTCAAGTGGTAGAGTGCTAGCCTTAAGCAAAAAAGCTAAGTAAGGTGACATTGTCCAAAAAGAAATGCATCCTGCCGCGTGCTAGTGGCTCACACCTGTAATCCTAGCTACACAGGAGGCTGAGATCTGAGGATTGCAGTTTGAAGCCAGCCAGGGCAGGAAAGTTCTTGATACTTCTTAATTAATCACAAGAAAACCAGAAGTGGCACTGTGGCTCAAAGTGGTAGCATACTAGCCTTGAGCAAAAAAGCTCAGGGACAGCACCCAGACCCTGAGTTCAAGTCCACAGAAATTTACTCTATATCTGACTTAGGTAACTGTAACGCCTCTGTACATCAACTTTTATAATAACAATAAAAACATAAATAAATAAAGCTCAGGGAAAGAAAGAACCCAGGCACTGAGTTCATGTCTCAGGACCAGCACTCACACAAAAATAATAAAAGTGTAAATGTCACAAGGATAGTGTCTTAACAATTTTCACTGCAGATAGGGAATGGAGAGAGATGAATACAGTCAAGGTCGTCATTCCACGCGCCACAGGGAATATCAAAAGTATAGGAGTATGTCTTTTGAAGTGTGGCGAACCTAAACTGTAGCTTCATACTACAGAATTTAACTATATTATAATGAAATTGGTTATTTACCATTTAGCTTTTTATTCCTTTACTGTGTTTCTAAAATGAATTTTTGTGAAGTAACTCTCTCTCCCCATTGGCTTCCAGAATTATTTGAAGGATTTTTTTTCTCAGAATAGACATTACCAACTAATTAAAAAAAAAAGAAAAAGAAAAGGGGGCTGGGAAGGTGGCTCAGTGGTAGAGTGCTTGCCTTGCATGCATGAGGGTTCGATTCCTCAGAATCACATAAGCAGAAAAAGCCAGAAGTGGCACTGTGGCTCAAGTGGTAGAGCACTAGTCTTGAGCTGAAATGCTGAGGGACAGCGCCCAGGCCCCACGACTGACAAAAAATAAAAGACTAAAATGCAACAAAAAAGTTTTGGGAAGAGAAAGTAGACATCTAAGACATCATTGACACAGTTTTTAAGCTAAGAATATGGTACATGTTTCAGTGAATCTTAGCAACATACTTTGACTCCTCTCCTGCTAGTCTGCCAACAAGACTTGGTCCCTCATGAAAAGAGAGAGATGGAGAAGTCTTTTAAACCTTCATCTGTGGGTAAAACCCCAGCTTTGCATCCTGTGCAATAAAAATGCATAGATCACAATTTTGAAAAGCATATTTTGGTGATAGTCCTGTACCACCTGCTATTGAGGCAGTCAGTTTAACCATTTGCATTTAGAAAACTTCAAATTCTAGCCAGGCGCCGGTGGCTCACACCTGTAATCCTAGCTACTCAGGAGGCTGAGATCTGAGGATCATGGTTCAAAGCCAGCCCTGGCAGGAAAGTCCATGAGACTCTTATCTCCAGTAAACCACTAGAAAACCATAGCTCAAGTGGTACAGCGCTGGCCTTGAGCTGAAGAGCTGAGGGACAGTGCCCAGGCCTAGAGTTCAAGCCCCACAACCAACAAAAAAAAAAAAATTAAAAGAAAAGAAAGAAAGAAAGCTTCAAATTCTAAAGAGATCTTACTTAAATGCTCCTAAAATATCACTTCTGCATAGTACTGGGTATCGAACCCACAGTCTCATGCATGCTAGGCAACTGCTTGACTACTTGAACCATGCCCTCAGCTCTTTTTGTTGTGTTTAATTTATGGGTAGGGTCTCATTCACTTTGTCTGCACTAGCCTCAAACTCAAAATCTCCCTCCTTTGCCTCTCAAGAAGCATGTACCACACCTGGATCCAAAACACTACTTTTGAAGCCAGCATAGCTTTTCTGAGAACTGACCATATACAAAGTACTGTGCAGAACAACCCATACCTGCAGTCCATAATCTCAGTAGGACACCTCACTTTCATTATTGAGAGGAATCATGTCGATAAGTGAAGTGCTCACACTGAGCAAAATGAAAGGTCTTTTGGAGTAAGGGTAGGGAGAAAAGGAGAGATTGGGTGGTCTTGAGGGAGGAGTGGAAAGGAAAGGAGAATTCTTGAGAGGAGAGAGAACACTGGCCTTAATACTTTGGTCATATCTTAGATTGGGGTGCTGTAACAAAACATCGTAGAATGGGTAGCTTGTACATGACAGAAATTTATGGCCCACAATTCTGAGAGTGGGCCACCCACGATCACTAGACTCAGTGTCTAGTAAGGCCAGAGTTCTGGTTACCCTTCTCTGTGTCCTTTCATGGTAAAGGGCAAACAAACGCCCTTGGGTCCACTTTTCTAAAGATAGTTACCCCATTCAAAGTGGAGAGTCCTCATGATTTAATAAGCTTCCAGGACTTCACCTCCTAATACCTTCACGTTGGAACTTAAGATTTCAACAGGTGACTTTGGGATGGGGAGCCGCACACATGGTAGCATCACTTAATATTCATTCATTCTTCCACATTTTCTCCTCAAATAAAATTTCATTTTTGTCTAAATAGTTCCAAATCTCCTATCCTTCCTAGTTCTGAGAGGTTTTTTTTTTCAGTTGTATAGAAGCTGATGCATCTCTGTATCTGAAATGAAGGCTTTCTCTGACGATAACACCTTTATGGACCGGCTAGTGAGGTACTAGGGAAAAGCAGTGGCCCTGGAGCCTGAAGCCCTCTTACCACTTAGCACTGTACAAAGTTGACTAAGTCACTAAATTTCTCCAACATCTCACCTTGCTCCCCTAAACACTCCCCTTACTTAGGGAGTTTCTGTGAGGATCAAATGAGAAGATAAAAATGCAGGTGCACTGCAAACTATTAAGATCTCTTTGATTGTGGGATGCTATTATTCACCTCCCATAAAGTTATACAAATGTAAGGCTCCTTTGGGTTGTCACCTTCTGGGCGCTTTCCTGCTGACCACTTGAAATGAATAAGATGTCAGCTAGGAAGCCCTAATTAACTGCATTTAACACTTTCTTGCTCCAGTAGGGAAGAACTGATGTTTCTCATACATGGATTTGTTCTTATCATAGATGTCTTGAACCTGAGGCCTTTCCCTCTCCTGCTTGTTGACAGGATGCTCTTAGCACCAGTTATTCATTGTTATTATTGTTATTCATTGATCTCCATTTGCCACCAAAACTGTCTGTCAAAAGTGCTGCCAGGAGTGTAGCTGACTTCTTCCTGGGAGACATGCTTCATCTGCCTCTCAGAGCAGCATGTGTATAAAAATGTAGCATGCACAAAGCAGAGATTACAAAGCAAGCAATTTCATACAAGATTAGATTCTGTTAAGGCAATTGCCTCATTCCCAGACAATCACTCATTTTCTCCAAGGAAGCTATTACTGCTCCCAGTATCCAATAACATTTGATGAGGCTTTAGAAGAACATTTTGGCTTTGTCCCACATTCCAGCTGCGGGGTGGGTTATGTGCCCAGTGTCTCCTATTCCCTCTGCCTTTGCACCAGTCTGGCCGAAAGACCACCCGGAGATTCAGGTTTGGGACATACAGAGACCAAGCTCATTGGAGGGCTAGCCTGAAATGCCTTGTGGGTAATCTCAAGAATAAGTGGGTGCAGTTGTGGACACTCATCCTTGGAAGGCAGTGATGAAGAGGACTCAAGTCAAGTTAAGGACTAAATTAGATGTTCTCTAAGGTTTTCTGACGCCTCACTACCCAAGAGGCTGACATCTGAGGATGTCAGTTCAAAGCCAGTCTGGGCAGAAAAGGCCATGTGACTCTATCTCCAATAAGCCACTCAGAAAACCAATAGTGGTGCTATGGCTCAAGTGGTAGAGCACTAGCCTTGAGCTGAAGAGCTGAGGGACAACGCCCAGGCCCAGAGTCCAATAAATAAATAAATAAATAAATAAAATTATGGTAAAATGAATATAGTTTGAAATTTGCCATTTTAACCAGTTCAATGTATAATTCAATGGCATTCAGGTTATGAAAGTACCTCTACTATTTCCAAAAAAAAATTTGGGGGGGTCCGGTCATGGGGCCTGAACTCTGGGCCTGGGTGCTATCCCTCAGCTCTTCAGCTCAAGGCTAGCGCTCTACCACTTGAGCCCACAGCACCACTCCTGGCTTTTTTCTTTTTGCTTACGTGGTGCTGAGGAATCGAACCCAGGGCCTCGGGCATGCAAGGCAAGTGCTCTACCACTGAGCCACCTTCCCAGCCCTTTCCAAAAATTTTTATTCACTCTGTTAAGCATTGACTCCCTGTTCCCTCCTCCTTTAGGCTCTTATAATTTCTTTTCTTTTATTATTTTTTTTTTTTGGTCGGCCGTGGGGCTTGAACTCTGGGCCTGGGCGCTGTCCCTCAGCTCTTCAGCTCAAGGCGAGCGCTGTGCCACTTGAGCCACAGCGCCACTTCCTGTTTTCTAGTGGTTTATTGGAGCTAAGAGTCTCACGGACTTTCCTGCCCGGGCTGGCTTTGAACCATGATCCTCAGATCTCAGCCTCTTGAGTAACTAGGATTACAGGTGTGAGCCACGGGTGCCCGGTGACTCTAATAATTTCTATTTTAATTTCTGTCTCTATACATTTGCCTATGGTAACTATTTTGTTTAAAGGGAGTCATACAATATATGTCCTTTACTGTTTGGCTTTTGTTTCACTAAGCATTTAAAGTTCATGCATATTATAATGTGTGTCAGAATTGCATGACTTTTTATGGCTGGATAATATTCTACTACATATACCACTTTTGTTTATCCAGTCATCTTTTAATTCAACCTCAAGTTGACATCTATACTGTGGAGAAATTTTAAAAAGTGACATTTGGGTACAAGAGCTTCAGTCTATTAATTGAATATTTAGAAGACTTGAAAAGGCAGACAGACCCCTCCTCCCGTGTTCTGGGCTTTCATAGGCCTTCTCTGGACATAAGACAGTATCATTAATGGTGTCAAATTTCACCTTTTTTCCATGCCCTTACCTGCTTACACAGTTTACTAAAGGAAGCACCTCTTTGTGGTACCACACATGCATTTTGGAGGTGTCCCCTTTGAGGAATGGAAATCTTAAGTATAACTTCATGTTAACTTTCATGCTGATTTCCGTAGACTCTGGCTAGATACAGCCATCTTCTGCCTGGAATCTGCTGGGTGTTACCTTCTTGGTGAACCAGCATGATGATCTCTGTAACGAGGCTGCCCTAGCTTCTGTCCATAGATGCTGCCATTACCTTAAGACACTGCCATCCCCCACTGGGAGCCACTGAAGTTGATGTTCTCAAGTCCAGAGCCACACAGGATGCTGGTTATGCAGCCCATGCTTCCTTTCCCTGGCCATGGCTCAGTGTTTTTCAAGAATTTTAGTGAGACACTGGGATCTGCCCCTCCATGCCCAGGTTAGTGGCTTTGTTAGCAGTCAATGTCCAGTCTGCCCACCCACCATTTCTTCAGCTATGCCTAGATACAGCTGAATTACAGAGGAAATGCAATTTGGAACTGTGTTATCACACAGAATTCTATGAAACTCTAAATTAGCATTTGCCAGGAATATGGTACCCTTGAGGAAATCACAGTTTTGGTTAGCCCCTGGTGTTTTCTCATACTTCTTGTTACCTCTTCACAGAAGAGAACTCCTTTTTGGAAATCTACTCTTGAAATAAAAAGATAAACAGAATAAATTTATTTGAAAATGAAAGGAAAATCATGAAAGAGTACAGTAGTGACACTGTATCCAGCAAGAGACCCCAAAGAGAAATCCTGAAAGCTACTCTCTTAAAAGCTTTCATCTTAGCCCGGAGCCAGTGGTTCATGCCTGTAATCCTAGCTACTCAGGAGGCTAAGATCGAGGATCATGGTTCAGAGCCTGCCTGGGCAGGAAAGTCTGTAAGACTGTCATCTCCAATAAACTACTCAGAAGTGCTGGAAGTGGTGCTGCGACTCAAGTGGTAGAGCACTAGCCTTGACTCAATAGAAGCTTGGGGACAGTGCCTAGGCCTTGAGTTCAAGCCCCAGAACTGGCAAAAAACAAACCAGCCAACAAAAAAAAAATCAACCTGATCTGTGTTCTGATTCTTTACCAGCAGAGGGAGATAGTCCTTTTCTTGATTCCTTTTTTTTTTTTAATTAACATTTGTAATATGAAGGAGGTTAATTGTTTTGATACTTCCATACATACACACGGTGTACTTTGAGTTCTTCAAATTCACCCTTCCGGTGTATTCCCATTGCTCCCTCTCTCCCTTGCTTTTTCAAACATCATGTGGTAGATTTCATTATGCTGTACTTACATAAAGTTTTGTCTTAGAGTCTACTGACATGTTTTTGCATCTGAGGATAGTTTAAGTCCCAAATTTGACCCTCTCCCTTATCTGTCCTTTATCAGCCCTTACTTGCCATCCTTTTCTGTCTCTCTTTTTTCCTCTCTCTGTGTCTCTCTTTCTGTCTCTTTGTTTTTTTCTCTCTGTCTTTCTCTCACCCACTCTCTTTCTCTCTCTGTTTTAGTCAGCCTTGGACTGTGACTTTACCTCCCTTCTGGAATAACAGGCATGCACAACCACTTCAGGCCTCTTGCACTCATAAAGCTCAACTGTTCTCTTCCTAGTGCATGACTTTGATCTAGTGACTGGGAGAACAGAATTGCCTAGCACTTACCTGAACCTTTCATTTAGATGCTGTTCATGTAGGTGATAAAATCGTCACTTAACAATAGGATAAAATGTTCTCAATCTTGGAAAAATTTGGGTGCCTGAAAGTTGCTAGGCAGTTAGTAGAACCCTCTCTCACAACATACATATGAAAACCTCGTGTATTATTTAAAAAATAAGACAATCATTTCCTAAATAATTATAATATAATTTCATCTGCAATAATAGATGAGGGCCTCCTGTTGTTGGTTCACAACCTCTGAACAACATGTAGAAATAAGTCAGTGGAGCCACACTGAGCCTTTCGTGGGTTACCCAGTCCCTTACTGCTGACAGGGTTAGAGCATGGCTCCCAAACCATCACATTTGATTCCATTTAGCCTGCTAGATGGAATCAAACGTAACTTGGCTATGTAGTGGAAAGTCATAGTTCATGGTTAATGGCTCTCTGCAGAGGCCAAGTCAGCTTTAATGCTCCAACATTTGGTTATCTCTTGAAAAAAGTTGATTTTAGTATTCTATTTGTGTATTTATAAGTTAAATAAACGCAAGTTGGTTTTCCCCCAAAATAGGTGAGGGCTAGAGGTATAATAGATCATTTGCCTAACATGAGCAAGGGACCAGGCTCAATCCTCTAGGTAGGAGAAAGGGGGAAGGAGAGTGATAATTAAGGATAATTCTCTATAAATTTACAATTACTTGAATATAACTTTTTGTGATTTAGATGAATATTTTTATTGTGCTAAGAACACTTTACATGAGATCTACCCTTTTAAAGTGTGTGTGTGTGTGTGTGTGTGTGTGCGCGCGCACACACACAAGCGCACTAGTCCTGGGGCTTGAAGTTAGGGCCTGGGCACTGTCCCTGATTTTTTTTGCTCAAGGATAACACTCTACTACTGAACCACAGCTCCACTTATAGCTTCTTGTATAAGTCTCACAGACTTGCCTGCCTGAGCTGGCTTTGAACTTCAGTCCTCAAATCTCAGCCTCCAGAGTAGCTAGGATTATAGGTATTAGCCACCAGTACTTTGCTGATTAAAAGATTTTAATCAGTTTTATTTTTTGTTTTGGTGGTACTGAGATTTGAACTCAGGGCTTCATGCTTGCAAGGTAGGCTCTCTTCCCTCTGAGCCGTGCCTCTAATAAAACATTTTTAAATGTACAGTGCAAGATTGTTAACTATATGTTATCCTAGAACTTATTCCTCTTATGTAGATGAAATTCATAGCTGTTAATTATCAATTCTCCATTTCTGCCCCTTCCCTCCAGAAGCCACCATTCAACTCCACTTCATGAGTTTAACTATATTCTGCATACTGCATGTAAGTGGAACCATGCAGTGTCTGTCTTTCTATAACTGAGTTATTGTTAGCATAAATTACTCAAGCTTTGTCTTTGTTGTCACATATTCATGATTTTTCTTTCTAAAAGATGAATAATATTCTATTATATATATATATATATATATATACACCATATATATATGATGGACATTGTGGCTAGTATGAATAGTGCAATGAATATGAGGATACTAATATCTCTTCAAGATCCAGATTTCTTTTTTAAAAAATCCATATGTCAATTCTTTTGCATAAATGGCCCAGAAATGAGATTGCTGTAATCAAGGAAACACAGACATTAAGTATTAATGAGGGGTGGAGAATCTGGAAATTTGTACGCTGTTGGAAAATAGCCTGAGGGGTTCCTCAACAAATTAAAAATAGAACTACCAGAGATTTTGAGATATACTGCCTAATATACACATGAAGGTAATGGAGTCATTCTCTGGAACTGTTATATAATTAAAGGCATTAGCTTTCACTGGAGATTATCGGGTTCTCATTACCTCTTGGAACATATCTGATACATAATGAAACATCTCCATTTAGCTATTGTTTAGGAACTATTATCCTAGCAGAGCTTTTCCTGTTTCCTAAAAATTAGATTCGTTTAAAATCTACGCCTGTGCAAAGACCAGTGTCCTGTCACTCTTGGAGTTTCTGGCAGGTTTATAATTTTATGGCCAATGGGTCTGCTGCCGGAAAGTTGTGTCCCCTCTTCTTTCATCTTTTTTTTTTTCTTATCCAGGCTGAATGGAGAGAAGAAGTAAAAAAACACTTTGAGAAGATCAAAAGCGAAGGAACCTGTATACATCGGTTAGATGAAGAACTGATTCGAAGACGCAGAGAAGAGCTCAGGTCAGCTGAGCTCTGTGGTCTACCTCTTCTCCTCCCTCCCCTCCCAGCCTGAGTCTTCAGATACTAGCAAGAACACCTTGTGAATGGCCATTTCACTTTCTACACACCTTTTGCCTCTACCCTGTGTCCTTATACTCTTTAAAACTTGCTCTGAAATTCTCTGTGAAATCTAAAAGGGTTGTCCTGGAAGTCTAGTATGGGGAGGGTGATGGTTACTGGAGGCTGGGGTTGGGGCAAAGAAAGGTTGATTAATAGGTACTCAATTCTATAGGTGAAAGAATTTCTGTTGTTGTATTGTGCACTTGGTTGACTATAGGTAGTAATAATGTGTTACACTTTTTATTTAGGAAGTTACAATAAAGATTTTTTGTTTGTTTGTTTGTTTTTTGGGTCCGGTCGTGGGGCCTGAACTCTGAGCCTGGGCGCTGTCCCTCAGCTCTTCAGCTCAAGGCTAGCGCTCTACCGCTGTGAGCGCCACTTCCGGCTTTTTTCTTTTTGCTTATGTGGTGCTGAGGAATCGAACCCAGGGCCTCAGGCATGCAAGGCAAGTGCTCTACCACTGAGCCACCTTCCCAGTCCCACAATAAAGATTTTTTAATGTTTCACCAGAAAGAAGTAATAATTATTTGAGAATGTAAGTTGTCCCTGACTTGAACATCTACAATGTACACATGTATTGAAACATCAGATGGTATCCCATAAAGATGTACATTTTTTTTTGGTCGGTGGTGGGGCTTGAACTCTGGGCCTGGGCACTGTCCCTGCACTCTTCAGCTCAAGGCAAGCGCTCTTGAGCCACTCCGGTTTTCTAGTGGTTTATTGGAGATCAGAGTCTCACGGACTTTTCTGCTTTGAACCGTGATCCTCAGATCTCAGCCTCCTGAGTAGCTGGGATTACAGGTGTGAGCCACTGGCACCTGGCAAGATGTACAATTTTTTGATTGTACAGTTTTTTCCAAGTATAGTGGCATGCCTATAGTTACAGCACTTGGGGAGGACGGGCTGAGGCAGGAAGTTTGCAAGTTCGAGGCCAGCTTGGGCTACATAGTGAGACTTTGTCTCAAAAATAAAAATTTTCTTAAGTTTGAACAACAATATAAAGATTGCTCTTTTTAAATTTTATTTTATTGTAAAGATGCTATACAGAGGAGTTACAGTTATATGAGCAAGGTAATGAGTACATTTCTTGTTGAGCATTGTTGTCTTCTCTTCTATTCTTTTTTATTGTGAAAATACTGTACAGAGGGGTTACAATTACAGGGGCAAGATAGTGAGTACATTTCTTATCAAGCATTGTAGCCTCCTCCTTTGTTTCCCCTTGCCATCCCTTCCCATCCTCCCCCCTCCTCCTCTATTTTTTTAAAGAGAGAGAAAGATTCTTTTTTTCTCTTTTCCAAACTCTGTTTTATTCATTTGTGATACTCTGCAACAAAGTGCTTCTATTTGTCCATTCAGTCACTGTTATAGGGGCCAAAGAAAGCTGGAAATGTATGAAGATTTAGTCCCTGACCTCAAGATGCTTATAATCTATTAAGGAATACAAGACATGCTCATGGACAACCACTGACTTAGGCTGGCTGATGTGACATGCTTTCTTAGACTTGGAAGTTAATCAGTGAAAGAAATTTATTGCTGCAGGCAATGCAGTTCAAGATCAAGACACTAGCAAATTCAGTGTCTGTTGAAGACCTATCCTCATACATTAATACACTTTTTAGAAGAGAAGAGGCCCTTCGACTTCATCTATAAGGCCACAAATCTCAACATGAGGTCCCCTTTCTCATGAGAAAATAATCACTTCCCAAAGGCCCACCTCTTAATATCCCCACCTTGGAATGTGCATTTGTCAGGGCCACACAAATCCATACTAATAAGCAAGATAGCTATACATGACATGGACAGGTATAATCATAGTATTTTCTTCAAATTCTTATTTCCATCAATGTATGAATATGTTATACTTTTTTAAAACTAACATAAGCAGAGGCTACAAGCAAAGCTAGGCACCAGTGGCTCATGCCTATAATCCTAGTTACTCAGGAAGTGGAGATCCGAGGATCATGGTTTAAAGCCAGCCCTGCCAGGAAAGTCCATGAGACTCTTATCTCCAGCTACCAAAAAAATCAGAAATGGCCGGGCGCTGGTGGCTCACGCCTGTAATCCTAGCTACTCAGGAGGCTGAGATCTGAGGATCGCGGTTCAAAGCCAGCCCAGGCAGGAGAGACCCTGAGACTCCTATCTCAAATAAACCACCAGAAAACCGGAAATGGTGCTGTAGCTCAAGTGGTAGAGTGCTCGCCTTGAGCTGAAGAGCTGAGGGACAGTGCCCCGGCCCAGAGTTCAAGCCCCACGACCGACCAAAAAAAAAAAAAAAATCAGAAATGGAGCTATGGCTTAAGTGCAGAGTGCTAGCTTGAACACAAAAGCTCAAGGACAGTGCCAAGGCCCTGAGTTCAAGCCCCAGGACAGATTCAGAAAAAAATAAAGGCTACAAGCAATGCATACATTCTAATTTTATTTATTTTTGGGGGGGGGTCAGGTCATGGGGCCTGAACTCTGGGTCTGGCACTGTCCCTCAGCTCTTCAGCTCAAGGCTAGCACTCTACCACTTAAGCCACAGTGCCACTTCTGGCTTTTTTTTTCTGCTTATGTGGTGCTAAGGAATTGAACCCAGGGCCTCATGCATGCAAGGCAAGCGCTCTACCACTGAGCCACCTCCCAGACCATAAATTCTAATTTTAATTTATGATCTACCTGGCTTTCTACTGACTAGGCCTAAAGGGTAAAATACGTAGAAAGCCTGGATTTTCCATCTTCTACTCCTTGTCTGAGTTAAACAAGAAAGTTTTAAAAATAGAGGACCTTGGGGCAAATGCTTTAGAAATAAGCCATCCTACACGTGCACCTCCATGTTTATTGCAGCACTGTTCACAATAGCTAGGATATGGAAACAACCCAGATGCCCCACCACAGATGAATGGATCCAAAAATTGTGGTATCTATACACAATGGAATATTATGCAGCCATTAGAAATGACAAAATAATGGCATTTG